CATGTAATCTGAAGAAACATATTGAAAATAAACATGAAGGAGTAAGATATCCTTGTGACAAATGTATGTACGCTGCCACTTCCACAAGTACTCTAAAACGGCATAAAAAGAGGAAACATAATAAATGAGGAGTGTGTTGAGAATTTGCTCTGCACTGTAAACTTCATTATTATCTCATTGTTTTAACCAAGGTTTAAGCACAATATATTTTTCTTTCTATTTATCTATTCATTATTATTATTTTTCACTATTCTCTTATTTCTTTTCATTATTTCTTATTCAAAGGAATAAAAAGTGAAAATCTACAAATATTATTGATGTTAGTGTTAGACAAATTTCCTCATCCTTTCCTTCTATATTTCCTTCTTGTCATACCCATAGATCAGATTTCTTTTTGTCAGTTGATGATTATTATTATTTACACTGTAGACCCTTAATAACTTTAAAATATTTTATTGAAGATTAAGTCTGGTGTCCGAATGTAATAATTTAAAGCCGCGTCTCAAATCCCCCAAAAACCGGTTTCAATTCATTACTGGCTTAAATCTCGAAAATTTAAAACAACTTTAAATGGAATCAGTCATATTTGAGCTGGGGATTAAATTCAAACTGCCGCTTAAATTCTTTAAATTCATTCTCTGATTGTTTTTGTTAAATAATTAAAGTTTTGGTGTATTCATTGTATAGAAATCTTGTTTAAAGTGTTCAAACTTTTTATGATTGATTGACACATTTCAGAATTTCCCATGTATTTCAGAGCAGAGATTATAAAAGAAGAATTGACTATGGAAGAAATAGAGATAAAAGAAGAAGTTTTCATCAGGGAAGAAATGTGTTCATCTTCTAGTTTAGAGGAAGCTTTACTTGGGATGTGAAGGAAGAAGATGTTCAGATGGAAAATACAGAAATTAAAGGTAAAAATTAATAAAATGTTTATTGTTTATATTCAAAATATCTTTATTGTTAAATCAAAAACTTTAGGATAGAAAATCAGAAAATTAAAACAAAACAAAAAATTTAAATGAGAAAGAGAATTTTTTAGATGGAATAACTGAGAATACGACAAAAGAAATAAAGTTAGAAGAGTTTGAGATGAAAGAAGAAACAGTTTTCATCAAGGAAGAAATTCTTCCAGGTTCTACTGTAGAAGATACTTGTACAGTTTATGTACAGGGAGAGAGAATTAAAAGAGAAAATAATGGTCATTTAAAGACACATCAAATATAAACATGACGGAGTTAGATATCCCTGTGATCAGTGTGAATACAGCAAGGGGTTTGAAGAAATATATTGAATGTAAACATAAAGGAGTAAGATATTCCTGTGATCAATGTGAATACTCTGCTACTACAGAAAGTAATCTGAAGAAACATATTGAAAATAAACATGAAGGAGTTAGATATCCCTGTGACCTATGTGAATACGCTGCTACTACAGTAAATCATCTGGAGAATCATATTGAAAATAAACACGAAGGAGTGAGATATCCCTGTGATTAGTGTAAATACGCTGCTATTACAGCAAATAAACTAAAGAAACATATCAAAAATAAACATGAAGAAGTGATATATCCCTGTGATCAGTGTGAATACGGTGCTACTACAGCAAGTAGTCTGAAGAAACATATTGAAGATAAACATGAAGGGGTGAGATATCCTTGTGACCAATGTATGTACGCTGCCACTTACACAAGTCATCTGAAACGGCATAAAAAGAGGAAACATCATAATTGAGAAGTGTATTGAGAATTTGCTCTGCACTGTAAACTTCATTATTCTCTTATTGTTAAACCCAAGGTTTAAACACAATATATTCATCTTTCTATTTATTGAATTGTGAATTGTGTGAATTCGCTGCTATTACAGTAAATCATCTGAAGTCACATATTGAAAATAAACATGAAGGAGTGAGATATATTTATGTTAGTATTAGAAAAATTTCCTCATCCTTCCTTTCTATGTTTCATTCTTGTCATACCCTAGGTCAGATTTCTGTTTGTCAGTTGATGATTACTATTATTTACACTGTAGACTCTTAATAACCTTTAATTTAGAAAGATTGAGTCCGGATTGCTATTGTTTAATAATTAAAGTTTTTTTTGTATTATTAGTGAAGAAATCTCGTGTAAACCGTTCACACTTTGCAAGATTGATACATTTCAGTATTTCACATTTTTAGTTGATTTTTTTATATTTCAGATAAAATGGCAGAGAATATAAAAGAAGAATTGATTATGGAAGAAATAGAGATAAAAGAAGAAGAAGAAGTTTTCATCAAGGAAGAAATGTGTTCATCTTCTATCTTAGAGGAAACTTGTACTTGGGATGTACAGGAAGAAGATGTTCAGATGGAAAAAGCAGAAATTAAAGGTGGAAATTGATGACATTTTTTTATTATTCATTCAAAATATCAATTTTTAAAGCTTTCTCACTAAAATTCCTAAATCAAACAGATTTAGTTTTTTCTAAATATATAATAACAGTTAATTTTAGATAATACTGGTGATAAAACAACACAAAAAATAAACTTGGAAGAGTTTGAGATGAAAGAAGAAACAGTTTCCATCAAGGTAGAAATTCTTCCAGGTTCTACTGTAGAAGATACTTGTACAGTTTATGTACAGGGGGAAGATATGAAGATGGAAAGTAAGATATAACTTCATAAAAATATTTTTGTTACTTATTTTAATCCTGTAAAATTTATTTTGGAAACAGAAAAAATCATTAGATTTAAATAAACTTTTTCAGGATAATTTTTAAGAATAAAAGGTAAATTTGAAAATAAAATATAATTGGTGGAGTTGGTAAACAAAAGGTTTTTTTTAAGAGGGAGGGGCAAACCTTCTGAACCACAGTTAACTTCACACCTTCTTCCGAGCCTCTTAAATATTCCTTGGACCCCAGATAGTTGGATATCCAAGCAATGTGTTTTTTTAAATCTATTTAACTTAATGACAAGAATTTACAATGTGCAATGCAGTGTTCTTTTCGAACCAGCGATTTGCAGATTATTTTTGATTTTCGTGAAATTATGGTTTTTATTTTTGAATTTCTTAAATTTACCAATCTTGTATACTAGAGCACTTGAATCATTATTATTCTAATTTCTTTCTTATTGTTCAGGTGAAATTGTCAAAACTACAGAATATCCTCTTCACTCTGAACCAAAGAGATGTGAGAAGAGTAAACTGGGAAAACAAACATATCCCTGTGAGAAATGTGATTATGTGGCAACCCGAGCTGTAAATCTCAAGAGACATATTGAAAATAAACATGAAGGAGTGAGATATCCTTGTACGGAATGTGATTTTGCTGCCATTAATGTAAGTCATTTGAAGAGACATGTTGAAAGTAAGCATGAAGGAGTAAGATATTCCTGTGATCAGTGTGAATACGCTGCTATTACAGCAGGAGATTTGAAGTCACATATTAAAAATAAACATGAAGGAGTGAGATATCCCTGTGACCAGTGTGAATACGCTGCTACTACAGCAGGAGCTTTGAAGTCACATATTAAAAGTAAACATGAAGGAGTGAGATATCCCTGTGATCAGTGTGAATACGCTGCTACTACAGAAGGAGCTTTGAAGTCACATATTAAAAGCGCTGCCACTCACAGAAGTGATCTGAAACGGCACAAAAAGAGGAAACATAAAAATTGAGAAGTGTGTTGAGAATTTGCACTGTAAACTTCATTATTCTCTTATTGTTTTACCCAAGGTTCAAACACAAATTATTTATCTTTCTATTGATTCATTCTTAAATATTACTTGTTTTAGATAAAATGGCAGAGAATATGAAAAAAGAATTGATTATGGAATAAATAGGGATAAAAGAAGAAGAAGTTAGAGCAAATATGTACATGGGATGTGAAGGAAGAAGATGTTAAGATTGAAAATAAAGAATTTAAAGGCGAAAGTTTATGTTCTTTTTATTATTTATTAAAAAGTTTTTTAGTTTTTATATTTCAATTCCTAGATCAAACAGCGTTACAGGATCTAAATATATAATAACTGTTTAAATTTAAGTAATACTGCTGGTAAAACAAGAAATAAACTTGGAAGAGTTTGAGATGAAGGAAAAAAAACCAGGGGTCAATATAATTCCATAATTGATTATTTGTCCCATCACAAGTTATTTTTAGAAAAAAATGATTTTCGGTCCCAACACTTTCATTTTCTGTCCCAACAGTTTCATTTTTTGTACCAAAAGCAAAACAAATATTTTCAATTCCACTAGTCATTCCTTTCATGACCTGGATTTTTATTTTAAGTTTAATCCCATTTATTACATTTTCGTCCCAAAATTCTATTTTCCATCCCAAACCCTAAAAAATTATTTCAAATTTCACTTGTCCTTTTCATACATGCTGGTTATTAATTTTATTTTCTATCCCAATTATTTCGTAATTTGTTTCAAAAGTTCATTTTCAATCCTTAAGACTTCCATTTTTTGTCCCTTAAAATTCATTTTAGTCCCAAAATCCAGAAAAAAATTTAAATTCCACAAAATGATTTTCCGTCCCATATTTTTATTTTCCATCCCAAACTTTCATTTTCTGTCCAAAAAGTCAATTTTTTTTCAAATTCCACAAGTTTGTTATCACAGGGCCTCAAGGTTTTGGCCACACAGTTTTATTTTTTGTCCCAATAATTTTATTTTTTTCCCTATTATTTCATTTTATGTCCCAATAATTTCATGTATTTTGACAAAATTTAATTATTTGTCCCAAAATTTCATTTTTCATCCCAAACAGCCATTTTGACCCGATCCCATTGGGATTGGGTATGGAATTATATTGACCCCTGGAAAAACTGTTTCAACTAAGGAAGAAATTCTTCCAGGTTCTACAATAGAAGATACTTGTACATTTTATGTACAGGGGGAAGACATGAAGATTGAAAGTAAGTAATCATAAATATTTTTTATTTTTTGTTATATCTCCTAAAATACTCATCTTATCATCAATGATTCTTTTTATGCAAATTTGGTAGAGTAGAGAATAAAATAAAATTTTCCTAATTTATTATTCTTTGAAAATTGAGATTTCTAAATGTATAAGGCAAAATCTTCCAAGCCACTTTAGAGATTACACCAACCTTTAAGAGGTATTTGCCATTTTCTGTTGTGTGCAATGCCCAGTAAAATTCCAAAACAGAGAGAGGGGGATGATTGAATTTTGTAGATCCAGAAAAATAAATAAATTAATATTTATTTAGGGTTAGGTTAGAATAAGACACTTTTTGGGCCGAGCGCTGCGGCTAGGACAGGCTAGGGGGCGGAGTGCTGCGGCCACAAGTTAGGTTAAGTTATGACACTTTCTGGGCCGAGTGCTGCAGCAAGGACAGGCTACAGGGCCGAGCACTGTGGCCACATGTCTTACATTTAAGACCCCACCAGCTGCCAGTCTCCACGCAGGCATCCCACAGATATTATTTTTCTGGATCTAAATCCAATCCCTTCTCTCTGTTTTGGAATTTTACGGAACATTGCACACAACAGAAAATGGCAAATACCCCTCTAAGACTCACTAATATAGGGGTATTCGTTTCACTTTTATACAGTTATATATGCAAGCACAAATATAGGAGTGGTCAACTAACGTTTATACAGTTATATATGCTAGCACTAATATAGGAGTCGTCAACTAACTTTTATACAGTTATATATGCTAGCTCTAATATAGGGGTGGTCGACTAACTATTATACAGTTATATATGCAAGGGGTGGTCAACTAACTTTTATACAGTTATATATGCAAGCACTAATATAGGGGTGGTCAACTAAATTTTATACAGTTATATATATATATGCAAGCACTAATATAGGGGTGGTCAACTAACTTTTATACAGTTATATATGTAAGCACTAATATAGGGGTGGTCAACTAACTTTTATACAGTTATATATGCAAGCACTAATATAGGGGTGGTCAACTAACTTTTATACAGTTATATATGCTAGCACTATTATAGAGGTGGTCAACAACCTTTTATACAGTTATATATGCTAGCACTAATATAGGGGTGGTCAACTAACTTTTATACAGTTATATATGCAAGCACTAATATAGGGGAGGTCAATTAACTTTTATACAGTTATATATGCTAGCACTAATATAGGGGTGGTCGACTAATTTTTATACAGTTATATATATTTTTGTGAAGAGAGGGTTGTGTGGTTTCATTTATTAAAGAGAATGTTCAACTAAACAGTATTAATCAATGTTCTAATATAAAACGAGCACTATTTAACTTCCTTTTCTTATTTACTAGTTAGAATTGCATAATGTAAAGTATATTTAAACTAATCGGTTCTTTATGAAGGGGGGAAGTGGTACAAGAAAGGGAGGGGGAAGGGTTTAGGACCACTAAAAATAGTCATTTCTTTATTATATAGGGGTGGTCGACTATTTTTTACAACAAGAATCAGCACTTAGCCTTGATTTTCACGGAATCAAGGTTGATTGGTGTTAAATGTGCTAAAACTAACTAAAAGACCTTAATTCATTTTCTTTTATCAAGATTTTATTTTTCAGGTGTAATTGTGAATACCAAAGAAGTGTAAAATTTATACTATTCAGGGAAGACGACTTGGTTACACAGGAGAAGTTGAAGAAGGACGCAAGATAAATCCTGGAGGACGCACAATCCTTCTATATACAATTATTAATGTCCATTCTTTTTATATGAGAATTTTTAAACATTTTAATTTCAAACCAATTTAATTTCCATGCTTGGAAATTTGAATAAATTTGAATATAAAACTTTTTTATACTTAATATCTGAGTGTTTCAGATATTATGCATGGCGCGTTTAAGTACTGTGTCCAAGAAACTGCGGGCAATGTTTGATCCTTAGTAAACATAGGTACAATTTTAAACATATATAAAAAGTTGTAAAGAAGTTTGCATTATAAAAAATTAACAATTTGTAAATCTAGATCTGAAGTTATAGCAACTACTGACGATCTACACCTCTACCTATACGTCCTTGCAGTCTCTGTGTCATTTTAGGTGAATAAACGAATTGCCCAAAAAAACACTATAAAATGAGCATAAATGAACAATGCACTTTTTATAGAGACTGAAGGAGCGTGTAGAGTGTGACCGGCTGATTGAGCTCTCAGCTTTAAGTATATAGGTATATACATATACTTTAAAATGCATTCATCTAACATTTTTCACACCTTTCAGTTAATAGAAAAAAGACTTTAAAACCTTTTCTCTAGAACCTGAATTGCACGGAGACGAATTTCCCTGCAGACCCTTCTAGCGAAGTCGTACTAAACTTCGCTCAACGGATCCTGTTTATTGTGAATCCACTACAAGTATATATCTCTCATAAGAAACATTTGAACATTTTAAAGAGAGTATATGACCTAAGCATGAAAAGAATCGGTATCTTTTTCCATAACTTATCAAAGTTTAATCGAGTTTTGAACTTTAGATCGCTGGGTGTGAGCGATCCTGATCTCTATAGGTTGTCATGCTACAAAATGATCCTATAGGTAAATAATATTCATCATTCTCTAAAAAACTCTGTTAGATATAAATATTAATTTGTTATATGTACTGTTGATTGATTGATTGATCATCTAAACGTCAATAATTTTAGACGTCGACTATCAACCATGAAGCAAGCTTTAAACCTGTGAACATGACTATCTCTCTTGTAACTGGATAATGTCCGTAATGTAAGTACTCATTTATTTTTCATTTATAAAAGCCGCTCCTTATAAATAGCTGATTTTATCTTTAAATACTTTCCCTATTTTTATATTTATTTACAGTAATTTATACTAATCTAATTGTGATTTGTTTTTTCAGTTATCACCTGATTAGAGGATAAATAAATACATAAAATATTTTGGAGTTATCTTCTATACCTCGAGTTATAAAGAGGAGTTATTATACCACAGTACAATCAAAATCTTCAGCACGTCCATGAGACACGTGCGACCCACGAAGTGAGAGATAATAGTCATTTAAAGATACACTTTGAAACCCTATAAACCCTAAAGTCTGACAAGAAGAAACATTTCTCTCTCTTAACCAAAGAGGCCCAAAAAAAGTGAATTAGCAGAAAAAGAGTATCCCTGCGGGAAATGTGAATATGCACAAACCTGGAACACTGAAGAGAGTGAGACATATTGACAGTATGCATGATGGAGTGAGATATCTCTGTAACTAGTGTGATTACGCTGCTACAACAAAAGATAGTCTTAAGAAGCATATCAAATATATACATGAAGGAGTGAGATATCCGTGTCAACATTGTGATTAGGCTGCTACTACAGTTGGATGTCTAAAAAGACATTTCAAAAATAATCATGAAGGAGTGAAATATCCCTGTGACCAGTGTGAATACGCTGCTACCTCAACAACAAACCTGAAAAAAAACAATTGAAAATAAACATATAGGGGTTAGATATCCTTGTGGCTTGTGTGAATTCGCTGCTACCACAGTTAGTTTGATGACACATTTTTTAAATAAACATAAAGGCGTTACATATCCCTGTGCTCAGTGCAAATATGCTGCTACTACAGTATTGAAACATATTGAAAATAAACATAAAGAAGTGAGATATTCATGTGATCAGTGTGAATACGCTGCTACTACAGGAAGTAATCTTAAGCAACATATTAAAAATATACTTAGTGAGTGAGATGTTTCTTTAGGACTATTGAACTTATTCATGCTAAGACTACAGTCTTTGATCTGAAAGAGAAAATATTATTTGTAAAAAGATTTCATGTTTTCTAAATGTAATTTTACGGGTTTGAATTGGATTAAAACCCCTGATTTCATTTGAAATTTAGAATTTGTCAGAATTTTCTTATTTTTAATTTTAGCATTTTTCATTTATTCTTCAAACTGTAAATATTTTTTTATTTTGATTCATCATGATTCTGCTTCTGTTCTATAAACTATTTCAAATATTTAAATTAAATTAAATTAAATTGCTTTGACCATCATCTATTTAATTTATACATATTGTTTAAAACTAAATTTTAATTTTTTTAAAAAGATTCATTTTCTATAATTACTGTTAAATTTTTCAGATGAAGCATTAATATCGAGACAGATCCTCTTTTCACTGCAACAGCAAGTCATCTGAAGAAACATATTATAATTAAACAAATAGGCGTTAGATATCCCTGTGCCCAGTGTGAATATGTTGCTACCACATAAAGTCATTTGAAGAAGCATATAGAAAATAAACATGAAGGAGTGAGATATCCCTGTGACCAGTGTAAATATGCTGCAACTACAACAACAGATCTGAAGAGGCATAGAAAATATAAACACGAAGGACTGGGACACCCCTGTGATCAATGTGAACACACTGCTTTTTCAGCTGGTCATTTGAAGAAACATGTTGAAAATAAACATGAAGGAGTGCGATATCCCTGTGACCAGTGTATGCACGCTGCTACTTCCAAGGGTAGTCTAAAAAGTCATAAAATGAGAAATCATAATAAATAAGTATTGTGTTTAAGGATTTGCTTTGCACTGTTTACTCCCAATTCTATTCTGTTTTTTATTTTCATTTTATTTCATTTTCCAAGAAATAAATTGTATTAATCAACAAATAATATTGATGTTGATTTTTTTTAAATCTTCATTTTTAGTAAATATTTATTTCAATTCCTAGATCAAACAGTGTTGAAAGTTTGAAACATACGTGTACATATATTTCAATTCCTAGATCAAACAGTGTTGAAAGTTTGAAACATACATATACATATATTTCAATTCCTAGATCAAACAGTGTTGAAAGTTTGAAACATACATATACATATAAATCAATTCCTAGATCAAACAGTGTTGAAAGTTTGAAACATACATATACATATAAATCAATTCCTAGATCAAACAGCGTTGAAAGTTTGAAACATACATATTCATATATTTCAATTCCTAGATCAAACAGTGTTGAAAGTTTGAAATATGCATATACATATATTTCAATTCCTAGATCAAACAGTGTTGAAAGTTTAAAACATACATATACATATATTTCAATTCCTAGATCAAACAGTGTTGAAAGTTTGAAATATACATATACATATATTTCAATTTCTTATTGAAAAAGCTCTTGTACTATAGTACTTTAAACGTTCTAAAAATATTTCACTGGTTTGATTTTAGATGGAATTGCACTTAGAAATCACTCTTTCAGAAAATAATTATTTTCTTATATTACTATTAACGCTGTTATTTTTAGGGTAAGACAAGTATTTAGTAAATCTAAATACAGTACTATTTTATATTGTTTTAAACCAGGATTCTTGAACCAATCTTTCACGGCAGTTTATGATTATGTTTCGAAACAATTTAATTCTTCATGTTTCTAATTAAATTTGTTAATTATAAAGGAGTAAGATTTCCCTGTGCTCAGTGTGAATACACTGCTACTACAGCTGGTAATCTGAAGAAACATATTGAAAATAAAAATGAAGGAGTAAGATATTCCTATTATCAGTGTGAATACTCTGCTACTACAGCATGTAATCTGAAGAGACATATTGAAAATAAACATGAAGGAGTAAGATATCCTTGTGACAAATGTATGTACGCTGCCACTTCCACAAGTACTCTTAAACGGCATAAAAAGAGGAAACATGATAAATAAGGAGTGTGTTGAGAATTTGCTCTGCACTGTAAACTTCATTATTCTCTTATTGTTTCACCCAAGGTTCAAGAACAATATATTTATCTTTCTATTTATCTATTCATTATTATTTTTTTTCACTATTCTCTTATTTCTTTTCATTATTTCTTATTTAAAGGAATAAAAAAGTGAAAATCAACAAATATTGATGTTAGTATAAGACATATTTCCTCATCCTATTCTTCTATATTTCCTTCTTGTCATTCCCTAGATCAGATTTCTGTTTGTCAGTTGATGATTACTATTATTTACACTGTAGTTTCTTAAAAACTTTAAAATATTTTATTCCGAAAGATTGAGTCTGGTGTCCGAATTTAATAAGTTAAAGCCGCGTCTCAAGTTCCCCAAAAAACCGGTTTCATTTCAGCGCCAGCTTAACTCTTAACAGTTTTCATCAAGGAAGAAATTCTTCCAGGTTCTACTGTAGAAGATACTTGTACAGTTTATGTACAGGGAGAGAGAATTAAAAGAGAAAATATAATGTGCCAACTCCACCATCCCCTTTTAAAGATTAATATCAGAGCAGATCCTCTTTTCACTGCAACAGCAAGTCATCTGAAGAAATATATAATAATTAAACAAATAGGCATTACTCATCCTTGTGCCCAGTGGGAATTCGTTGCTACCACAAAAAATCATCTGAAGAAGCATATTAGAAATAAACATGAAGGCGTTAGGTATCCCTGTGATCAGTGTAAATATGCTGAAAGTACAACAACAGATCTGAAGAGGCATAAAAAATATAAACACGAAGGACTGGGACACCCCTGCAAGAGGGGAGGAAGGCCAACAACATCAATCTCTAGTCCGAACCACATTCTCCTCATTTTCTTGTCCGAACAACCTCAAAATCCTTGTCCTTTCAATATTTTTTTTTAAGTGTCCAATCCTTGAAATTAAATACATTTTTTTTAAATATGGCGACATTAGGGCATAAAACATGACTAGAATAAAGTTTTCCACGGATTTTGAGATGTTGGAATCTTCAAATCCACAAGAATGATGTCAAACATTATTTAGGTTAAAAAATTGAATCTCTTTGGCCTCCAAAATGGATAACTTTCACTAATAAAATTTTATACCAAAGAATTCGCGTGAACATGGTCTTTAATCTTTCCATTTCAACCCATACAAAATAATCATTGATTTCTGATTTATGTACAAATAAGGTAGATTTGTTGTCCCCGAGATCACATACTGCCTGCTGCATGCTTAAAATTATAGAAAAAATAATGTTCAATTTATATTATTTAAATCATTTGCTACAATTAATTGGTCACAACCATATGAATTCAAACAGTATTTAATCATATAAAAATTGTAAGTCATGTCTCTAACCCAAATTCAGCTGGAATATTACTAAAAGTTGTTTACATCGAGTTTGAGAATGTTTTGCGGCATTTTCCGCGAAAGAAAGGGCTCTGACACAGACGCTTTTTTGTAGAACATCGTTTATGGAGCATTTTCTCTTTTACAGAAATCTAAAATTTAATTCGGAAAATTTTATATTTTATCTATGGCCTAACGTCGCCATATTTTAAAAAAAAGTATTTATTTTCAAAATGAGGAGAATGTGGTTCGGACTAGAGATTGATGTGTGGTTGGCGGTAATTTCCTAGTATACGATTTTTGGACCCCCCCCCCCCTCCTATCAATTTTGTACATGGGTCTGACAAGAAGTTTCTTAACTTAACCTAACCCGTGGCCGCAGCGCTCGCCCCCTAGCCCATCCTAGCCACAGCGCTCGGCCCAGAAAGTATCTTAACCTAACCTAACCCTAAATAACAAAAAAATAAATAATAATAAATTTGCTGAAAAATAAATGGTCATGTACAAAATTGATAGGAGGGGGGGGGTGGGGGGGGGGGGCCAAAAATCGTATACTAGGACAGACCCTGGTTGGCCTTCCTCCCCTCCCTGCAATCAATGTGAACACACTGCTATTTCAGCTGGTCATTTTAAGAAACATGTTGAGAATAAACATGAAGGAGTGAGATATCCCTGTGACCAGTGTATGAACGCTGCTACTTCCAAGGGTAATCTAAAAAGTCATAAAATGAGAAATCATAATAATTAAGTATTGTGTTTATGGATTTGCTCTGCACTGTTTACTTCCAATTCTATTTTGTTTTTTATCATTTTTTAAAAATATTTAAAGAAGATTGTATTGATCAACAAATATTACTGTTTTTAATTTTTTGTTATAAATATGTCATTCTCTCCTTTTTAAAATTTCATCCTTGTTCTTCCTGAGATCAGACAAGGGGAGGGAGTCCAGAGTAGCTCAAATAGTAATCACCGCCACCCAAATCTGTTTTGCGGCAAGCGCGCTCCTCAATTGGTAATCTCTTGAAAATGTATTTACCTCTCTACAAAAAGGATGGTACCCTGTAGAGTGTGATTAGCTGTTTTAGATCAAGCAGGTTTTATAGCAGGTTCTCCTATAATATATACATTTTGTAAGGTAAGGGAATTACGACATCATCTAGGTTGTTTTACCTAACAAGGCTCTCAATCTTCTGAATAGGAGAGACTTGGAGCTGCGAGTAGTTTAACTTTTAGCGGTTGGAACTAAAATATTTATTTATAGTTTGCCTCCATTTAAGTTCAACATTTGGTTTCAACTTATTATGAGCTAGGTGTTTACCTTGACTCGAAAGGAGATCAGCCGCACCGAGTTTAGCAGGACCCAGTGATCATCAGCTCAATAACGATCAGGGTTATCAGATTTAGTTTCAGATCTGGTATTCCTTAATAAGAATAGCTTTATTAAGCAAAAGCAATTCTTGTAAAAACCCAAGTAGTTATTGCAATTATATTAGCAATATCCTAGCTGATTTTCTGAGCTGGAAAGCAAGAGCAGGCAGTAGAGCTTCAGTCTTGAAGATCATGATCTGCCATTCTACTCTGAAATATAAAATATTAAAAGCTTTATATTGGTACAAATATACATTGAAGATCACAATTGTTTGAGGTTAGGCTTGATTCCAGGTTCAGGTAGAGTTTTCTCAATCTTGAGAGGAGCCATGATACTCCTAAAGTTTACAGTAGCTTAGTGTACTGTTTACACTCTACAGTTAGCTCATA